TGTCCACTCATTGTGGAAATTGGCAGGGCAAGTGGGCGTGTATGGAAGAGAGAAACATAAGGGGCAGGCTTGCTAGAACCTGCTCTCATGATAGCTAATCCAGTCCTGCCAGAGTGAGACCACTCCCTGAGAAATGCATTAATCCATTCATGATGGCTCTGTGACCAAGACCCAAACATCTCCCTCTCGACCCCGCCTCCCAACATGGCTGCATCAAGCAAAGAGTTATGGTTCCAACCTACAAGATTCTGGAGGACAAACTCAAACTCAAGAGTCTGGCAAGAGAGATACATCGGGGACTTAAAGCTTTGTGCTCAATTGTACCTCTGGAGTCTGGGGAAGATGCTGAACAATGTCTAACTAGGAATTAAGTTCTTCAGAGCTGTCACAAAGGAATTCATTTCACCCTGTGGCCCCAAGGAGAGCCTTAAGACCTTATAGTGTATTTGTTCTTGTGGGTAAGTGTACTGCAGGCTTGGAATCTACCCACAACTCCAACTATGGTAGGAGGGGACCACACCTGTATTTTCTTTTTGCATTGTTTGAAAATATGATGGTATTGTCTTTTGATGCAACAAAAGCACTTCTTAAAATTAACCAAAAAACAGTCACAATTTAAAAGAATCTTGGTTCTCTACTTAGTAGGAAATTACTGATGCAGCCTTCCTAATAGCAAAAAAATTGGAAAAAGTTGGGACTTTGCCACAGAGAACCCTACACAGCCTTTAGAAAAAAAAAATTCCAAAGTTCTTTTCCTTTGAGTCTGTCACACTAAGATTTTTTCCCTTTAATGTTGCAATATTTTAACTAACAAAATAGGGATAAATTCTCTTCAGATGGATGTTTTTCATTAGCACCTATAATTCTGTTAAGTACTAGCTACTGTACAAAATGCATGTGTTTTGTTTTGTTTTGTTCTGTTTTTGTGGTACTGGGGATCCAACCCAGCAGCACTGTACCCCTGAGCTACATCCCAGCTCTTTTTATTTTTTATTTTGAGGCAGGGTCTCACTATGTAGCCCAGGCTGGCTTTGAACTTGTAATCCTCCTGCCTCAATTTCCCAAAGGGCTAGATTACAGGTATATACCACCATGCCTAGCTTGTTTTTTACAGGAAAATGTATTGGGGAAAAAATATTTAAGCTTCAAGTTTATTCAAGTGGTTTGTATTATCTGAATCACTCTCCCCAAGGGCCTCCCAAATTATAAAGTAAGGAAAGCAGTAGAAGGTGAATTAAAGATCATAGCCAGCACATTAGCCTCAAGGTTAATCTACACCAAGGTAGAGCCAGTAACAGCTAACATTTTAGTCATTTTTTAATGGAAGGCAGTAGTATGAGATACAACATTCAAAAGACATGAAGAGGTATACAGAGAAATCCTTGCCACTCAAGTCCTGAACCACCTAGTTCCCCAAATTGTATCATTTCAGAGCTCCTCCACACTGCTGCTTGCTGTTGGGGCTATTATAACTTTAGATTGGGTAATATAAACAATGTAGTTTACTGCTCCTAGCTCTCCAGGAACGGAGTCAAAGATCAAAGTTATCAATAGGTTCTGTGAAGGTGAAGTCCCTGAGGGAACCAACCTTCTGTGTATCCTTGAATGCTGGAAAGCACAAGGTCATTCACTCCTTGATAAAAAGGGATGACAAAAGAGTTATCACTCACTAAATGATACCTACTGTTGTAATTATTTAAAAAGTCTCATCCAATCCAAAGTCTGTTCCCACATCATGGTACACACAATAGTATACCCATCTCATCTCAAGAGCAAAACTGCATTCTAAATAAAGTAAAAAACAATAAGCAAAAGCCAACACTAATTATATTTCATGGTGTCTGGGAGTAAAAACCAAAAAGAGAATTCACACTCATACGGAGAAGGAGGTAATTTAAATAACTTGTTTAAATCAATTCTTTTCCACCAGATGTGTGCATTTATTGTTTGATATAAATACTGCAGACATTCTCCCTAACTAAGCAATAGGTCTAGGTTTCATTTTGAAAAGATATAATCTATGCAATTACACTATTAATTTTTTTTTTTTTTGTCTTTTTCTTTTTTATCGGTACCGGGGATTGAACTCACGACCACACACTTGCAAGACAGGCGCTTATGCTGCTGAGCTAAATCTCCAGCCCCAACACTATTAATTTTAATGATATTTCAGGGGCTGAGGGATTTAGCTCAGTGGCATAAGTGCCTGCCTTGCAAGCAGGCAGTCGTGAGTTCAATCCCTGGTACCGATAAAAACGAAAAAGACCAAAAAAAAAAAAAAAAAGAAAATAATATTTCAGATTAGTTTTGCTATCAAATAACATTCCAGTTAAAAACTTAAATCAGCAGGAAGTAAATTATATTTTATTCAAATATATAATTATGATTTGAGAGTGACATTTGCATGTTTCTTTAGAGACGGAACATATTAACTAGCAACAATGGCAGCTAACACATTACAAACCATTTAAAGCCTAATGCACTAGGTGTTAATTTTTAGATATTACATCATTCTCTTAATCACTTGAGTTTGTTACAGAAAAATCGCAGCCTTATGCTTGACTACTAACATGAATGGCTCCTGCAGAGCTGTTTGCTAGCACCTTGTGAGGTTTTCAACACTGAAATGATATAGACAGGTAAGCCTCATATCTTACTGGGGATGTGTGAATCACCTGGGGAATCCTGTTAAAATGCAATTATGATTCAGAGGTGCTGGAGTGAAGCCAGTGATGACAAGAAGCTCTGAGCCAGGAGCAAAGCTGCTGCATTGTGAGCTGCAGTCAGAGCAGCAAAGATCCACAGGTTACAAAAGCCACACACCACCAAAATAAACAAATAAATTCTGAAACAAAAACTTTTAAAAATCAAATTTTACTAAAACATCTCAGAATTTACTCCCCCCAGCCCCCAGTACTAGGAATAGAACCCTGGGCCTCATTCATGCAAACAATGAGCCACACCACCCCCCACCCAGCCCTTACTCTTGTATCTGATAGCATTCTAAGCTTTGTAATATCCAGAACGATTTTCATAACGACTTCATCCCCAGCTTACAGCTTACAGTATAAATTCTTGGAGTAGGGGCAGAAATGTTTACCCTACCTCTAACAAAGATCTACTTTTTTAAAATCAAGGTACACCAAGACCATCAACGCATTCTTCAAGTGGACCCCTAACTTTCATGGGCCAGTCACACAGTCTCTGGATGCTCTGAGGTTAGATAAATGGCAGAGTTGGGAGAGATATTAAGGGCTGGGTCCAAAAGTTCTCCCAGATTAGAGGTCAAGCTCTACAACACAGTACTACTCCCAAAAGGCAAATAAATGCTACTGGCTTCCATCCCTGGCATTAGGTGACAAAGTCCCAGCAATGAGCTGATAATTAACACTTTAAACAGACTACTGGATTTCAATTCTTTTACCAAATTCTTTGAGTTGCAAATTAGATCATTAATAAGTTCTATTTACTTTGAAAAATCCACAACTAAACCAAAGCAAGGTACTTGACAAGGTCGTGTACCCAACCTGGGTGCAAGTTCGACCCTTGCCCTTTTCTTACTCCCTTATGATTACTTTTAGCATACACAAACACCTGGCTAGCTGCCTCTTTTAAAAAGTGATTACATATCTCTTCCCTCCTCCTACATTCTTTTTCCTAGCAGCAGTGTCTAACTACAGAACCTATACTTCCTTGAGAACATTCCAGTTTACTGGATTAAAATCAGTTTAAAATTTTAGGCTGGATGCGGTGGCACCTGTAATCCCAACACTCAGGAAGCTGAGGCTGGAGTTCGGCACTAGCCTGGGCTACAAAGGGAGACCTTGTTCCTTAAAACCCTTCCAAAGTTCGTCCAGCAATCAGCAGAACAAGACTTCCATTCCTGAGATATGAACACGATGATTCTGCAATTTACTATCACTGGGAACTTTATTGAAAAAGTGTCAACCCGTATTATTCCCTAGGAAAGTTTTTATATTTGCAATCAAGTAAGCACAAGAGAACCGCTGCTTCAAGAAATAAAATGCGCATACACTCAGCTCCATGCAAACTGCTTCTCTGGCTGCCTGGTAAGTCTATAAAAGTTTTCAGGCTCGGCCTCCCTAGGAAGGCCTACCTGTGACAGGGAATATGCTGAGACACACTGAGTCTCCTAACCTGGAGCATGTGCTGTCCACCAGAGCTAGGCAACTGCCAGGCAGTCTGTCACAAAACCACAAAACAGGAACAGAGCTGACAGGTCGCTGCCCTGAACACCTTGGGGCAAAAAAATAAGAACCCTGAGAAATGAGTTGTACTGTAGAGAAGTCCAACAGAAAGTTCGCTGTATCTGTTAGCTTCCAATCCGGCTGTTTGCCCACAGTGATTTAACTCTAAGTACCAAATGAGCAGTGCCAGCCACTGGGCTAGGCAGAGGACTCACAGATGCAAGATTCAAATCTCCGCAGTACAAACTGGAGACTGTGGGCAGATCTAGACTACCTCACTATATAACTGCATTCAACAAATACTTATGGAGCATCCATATGCCGATACCCTCTCCGCGATAGAGAAGAAACCAAGCTTCAGTCCCCAGTCTTCCGAGGTAGACAAGAACTGTCCGGGGATGGCGTGGGCCCCCAAAACGTGCTACAAGTTGCAAAGGCCAGCAGTACCGAGGAGACTACCTGACCACCACTACCATCCCCCGCGCCTCCGCTGCGCACCCCCAATACCGGTAACTAAGGCAGACGTGGGCAGGTAGGCCCCGGTGCAGGTGTGCAGGTACGAGGCATACCCGAGGCTGCCGGACCGGAGGTGGAAGGCGCCAGAGGAGAGCAAGGTCTCCGAAGGAGGGTGCAAGGCGCGGGGACCACAGGGGAGAGAGGTATGAGGAGCTGGAATCGGACGCGGGGACGCGGCAGAGGCCATCCAGGCCTGCGCCCCGCAGCGCGAGCCGGGCGCGGGGAGAAAGCGCGGCTAGGCCGCCCGCGGCACCTGGAGCCCCACCCAGCACCTACCACTTGGGCGACCTTGAGGCGGCCGAGAGCGCCGCACAGGTAGTCAGGGTCGCAGCGCAGGCCGGCCAGCCCGCGGCGCTGGCTCACCGGCTCGGTGGTGGGCTGGTACGGGCTGCTGGCGCCCGAGATCATGGAGGTGCTCGAGGCCTCACCCTCGAAGCCGTCCAGCTCCTCGCCGCTCCGCATGCTGCCGCCTGGCCCGGGCCGCCTTACGCGGCCGGACCCCGCGCCAGGAGCGGGCGCGCTCAGTGGGGCCGCCGCATCGCCGCCACCCCCCGACTGCCCGCCGCCCGCTGCCCGCTGCGGCCGCAGCTGGGTGCGCTCGGGTTCGGCTCCCGCCGCCTCAGCAGCGGAAAGGGAAGGAGGCGGGAGCGGCGCGCCGGCCGGGAGAAGGCGGAGCGAGCTCCCGCCGCCGGCCGCTGATGGCGCTTGGAGCCCTGCAGGGTGGAGGCGGCGGGGCGGGGCCGCGGGGAGGGGCGGGGCCCCGTCTACAAGGTCCCGCCCACACCTGCGCGCGCGCTAGCAAGCTCTTGAGGCCAGCTGTCTCAGCTCTGGAAGGCTGGGGTTCTTGAAAGGGGCAGCAGGGGACGGCAGCGGGGCGGGAGGAGTGCAGGCTAAAGGGAGCATTAAAGTGGGCCAAGGTAGCTGTAGAGCCCCTTTCACAGGCGCTGCCTCGGTTTCTTTTATGGATACAATAGGGTCCTGTCCAGGTAGGCTGGGGGATGTCCCAAGGAAGACCGGGAGACAGTGAGTGTCCCAGCGGGGGCCTGTGTGACAGACAAGGGAGCAGATGTGTGTGAGTTCCCGAGCTGGTCGTCCTGCATGAAGCCACTTCTGCAGCAGGCGGAGTGAGCGGTCGAGGGCCAGTAAGGTCTACAGGACCCACCCAGATGGTGTAAGCCCTGGATCCTCTTCCAAGTAGGTCCTTGGTGACTAACACTAATTTCTTCTCTTGACTGAAAGGTGTCGTTACCTCTGGGGCACTGAGCCAGGTTAAACAGAGATTTTTGCCCCGAAGGCATTAATTAGGGACCAATTTGCAGTTCAAGTGTGAAGGCTAATTTTAAGCTTAAATATTAAAAGGCTGACTTTCTAAGAACTGTCACTCTGATACTGAACCCTTCCACCCCACAAATACCCAGAGCTTCCCGTGCTCTGGGCACAAAGCAGGGCGCTTGAAGGTGGTGTGTATGATTGCTATTTTACAGAAGCAGGGACAGCTCCAAAGCAGACATCTAATTGGCAGGTAGAGTGTAGGTTCTGCCTGTTTTCAAAAATGGGAGGACAGTAGCTTTAATTTATACTGTATCAACAAGTAAATTCTGTATTTACAGTACTGTGTATTAGGCAATATGCTACTGAGGACAGACTGCCAGTTTGGTTGAATGCTAAATGTAGGTTCTACAATCTCTGCTCCCAGAATCCCCAGTGACATGACAGCCACAGGGATTTATATTTTTAAAGGCATGAAACCAGAAACAAAGAATGGGAAAGGAGACAATGACAACAAAATATTGGAAGTGGGAAAGCAAATGTGCAAGTGATAATTAATGTAACAGATCCAAGAAAACTAAACCCTAAACTGGCTGTGGAAAGCTGAAATGCAAACTAGATTACAGTGGATCTCCAAACAAAAGGCTCAGGAGTGGCCAGCACCAAGGACATCTAGGAGGGGTGAAGGCAGGAATAAAAGACCAAAGAAACCAATTAAAACTTTTTTTAAAGATTTTTTTTTTTTAACGGCAGCATTGGGGTTTGAACCAAGGACCTTCACACTGAGCTACAGTCCCAGTCCTTTTTAAAGTTTGAGCCAGAATCTTGCTAAATTGCTAAGTTATCCCAACTAGCCTCTGACTTGATTCTCCTGTTTCAGCCACTCAGAGGCCTGGGATTACAGGTGTATGCCAAAGGTCTTGCTGATTTTTTTTTTTTTTTAAAGGAAGAAACTGAATCCTGGATTCCATCCCATGTTTTCATCCCTGTTTATTGAGTGTTGAGACCCATGGGCTTTTTTCTTGAGATCATAGAAGCCAAAACCTCTAACCTTTTCTGAAGGGCCTCAATAGCCAAGACAAAAAGACCTAAAGGAAGTTCCTCAAAGTACAACCTGCCAAGTCACCCAAACCTGAGTTGGCCAGATTGCCAATAAGCTCCCCCACCCTCTAGTGAACCAGGGCCTTTGCACTGAGATAATCCCTAGTCTTTTTTTTTCTGAGACAGGGTCTATCTAAATTACTAAACTTCTCAGAATGCACTGGAACTTGCAATTCTCCTCCCAGAATACTCAGATTACACCACACCAGGCTCCAATAAGCCTTTCAGCACCCTGTTTTGAAAAACAAATGGCACTAAACATTTTTTTTTTTTGGTCTTTTTCATTTTTATCGGTACCAGGGATCAAACTCACGACTGCCTGCTTGCAAGGCAGATGCTTATGCTGCTGAGCTACATCCCCAGCCCCCGGCACTAAACATTTGAGGAAAGCCTATGATATAATAGGCAGAGGTCAATATTTTGAAGAAAAATCAGCTAGGAGAAAATAAGATGTATCATTAAATTATACATATATATATGTACCTATTTGTATATATACATCATTTTATACAAATATCATTATACATGTACATATTTCAGTATTTTCAGGGAAAACAAGAAGATATTATAACTACACTGAAGCCCAGGAATTTTCTTTTTTTTTTTTTTTTTTTTTTTTTTTTGCCTTTTCCCTTTTTATCGGTACCAGGGATCAAACTCACGACTGCCTGCTTGCAAGGCAGGCACTTATGCTGCTGAGCTAAATCCCCAGCCCCTAAGCCCAGGAATTTTCAACCAGCCATCTTGTTCAGTCTCAACATACTGACTCTATCTCATATAAAAGGGGAAATTAGAGTGAGATACTACCAAAAGAGAATATTCAGAAAAAATGAAAAGATGTTCAATGTCATTAGTTATTAGGGAAATGCAAATCAAAAACACTTCATATCTACTAAAATAGCTCTAAGAAAGGCAAAAAATTGCAAGTATTGCTGAAGATGTGGAGAAATTGGAACCTTCGTGTTGCTGATAGGAAGGTAAAATGGTGCAGCCTCTGGGCTAAACACTGTGGCAGTTCTTCAAACAGCTACATAGAATTAGCATAGAGTCTGGCAATTCTACTCCCAGGTATATGTTCCAAAGAAATGAAACAGATGCTCTAATAAAAGCATGTACACAAAATTTCATAGCAGCACTACTGCAATAGCCAAAAGGTAGAAACAGTCCATTAACTGGTGAATAGACAAAATGTGGTATATCTACACAATGGAATGTATTCGGCTATAAACAGGAATGAAGTACTAATACTTGCAAAGCATGAATGTGCCTCAAAAACATGCTAAGTGAATAAGGCCAGATAAATTCACATATGATACTACCTAATTTATATAAAATATCCAGAATAGCCAAATTCATAAAAGAAAAGGCAGATTAATGTTTGTCAGGGGCTAGGGGAGAGATAATGGAGAATGACCACTTACAGGTATGGGACTTAGACTGGGCAGTGAAAATGTTCTGGAACTGGATAGTGGTAATGTTTCTACAACACTGTAAATGTACTTAAGGTGAACTGTACACTTAAAATCGTTGTAAGGATAAATTTGTGTATGGGAGGGTGGTATTTTGAAACAGGGTCTCACTATGCAGTTTGGGCTTCCCTTGAGCTCAGCCCAGTCTCAATGATCCTCCTACCTTAGCCTTCCGGGTGCTGGGATTACAGTGTGAGCCACCATACCCCACCAGAAGGATAAAATTTTATGTATACATTAACATCTATCTATCGTCTTGATTGCTAAATAATATGAACCATTTTAAATTTCAATACAAAAGTTAAAGAAAATCCCACAGGAAATAAGAGTCAGAAGACAATGAGATGGAAAATGATAGAAGCTCTTGAAGACTCTAGATCTTTAATGCTTTTAAGGAACAAGGCAGGTTCATTATAAAGGATCAGTTATCAGAAGGGCATCACACTTGTCTATAGCAACTTTACAAGATACAAAGAAAATGAAGCAAACCTTTCTACATTCTGGATGAAAATGACCCCCACCAAGAAGTGATTCCAGCTGAGGGTAAATCAAATGTGAAAGTTGATGAAAGAATTTTTTTTTTAGTTTTAAAGAGGGAAAAACAAAACAAAAAATACAAGAAAAGGGGCTGGGGATTTAGCTCAGCGGCATAAGCGCCTGCCTTACAAGCAGGTGGTTGTGAGTTCGATCCCTGGTACCGATAAAAATGAAAAAGACAAAAAAAAAAAAAAAATACAAGAAAAATAAGATACAAAAGAGAGGAACAACAATAACAAAAACCCCAAAGCAATAACAATTTGGCTTTCAAAACAAAGGTTGTTGTTTTGCATAGTTATCTTCAAAAGAGTTACTCAGATTACCAGATGATGAAAGAATCTTTTGGATGTGCAAAGACGCCCTCTTTGTGTCAGGAACTAAAGGAGTTAAGCCAAGGAAATGGCAGACATGCAGGAAACAGGTGTTGCAGCAAGAGAGGTGATAAGAACTGAGGGTGAACAGGGCAGAACTCAAGGTGCCACAGGCTTGAAGTCCCCAGAGGCTTTGGGAGAGACTTCTCCAGGACAGAATCAAAAATGTACTTAATGGCTGGGTGCTTGTAGTCCAAGCTACTGAGGAAGCTGAGGCAAGGGACTGCTTGATGCTTGAGCTCAGTAGTTCAAGGCCAGCCTGAGCCATATAGGGAGAAGCTGTCTCAACAAAAAAGTGGGGGAAAAGGAAAGGAAAAGTGAAAGAAGGATAGAAAGAGAAAAAAGAGGGAAGCAAAGAAAGAGAAAGAAAGGAAGAAAAGGGAAGAGAAAAAGAAGAAAGGAGGAGGATAGAGGGAAGAAAGAAAGGTAGGTCCTAGCATGTGTGAGGCCTGGAGTACAATCCCCAACACTGGAAAAAATGTATTTCAACACACTGAAAACAACGATCATAGTTTTAGGATAATTTTGAAATAGATTAGCGACAAATTCTTTAAAAACTAAGCAACTATTCATATTAATTAACTTCCAAGAATATAAAATGGTACAGAAAAGGGGAAGTATGGTAAATCCCATGGCTCAACAGTATCATTTGTATAATGATAATAAAAGTGAATGTTGCTTTAGCCCAAAGAACCTATCTATATTTGGAGGAGAAGAGAGAGGAACAAGAGGTGTGTGTGTGTGATAGGGAGAAAAGAGGATGGGCTAGAGACCTGAACACTCATCATCCACCTGAGAAGGTTGGCTGCTTAAAACTGAAAAACCCAGAGGTAGCAGTAGATACATGTGTGGTGTCAGAAATATAAATAGAAGCTAGAGGTGGTATACACCTGCCTGTATGAGATTCTTTATCAAGAAAAAAATATATATACAA